AAAATATATATGCTACAACACAGATGAACCTTGAAAACATTACACTAATTGAAAGAAAGCATACACAAGAGATCATCTATCATATGATTCCATTTATACAAAATGTCTAGGAAAGGCAAATCTACAGAGACAGAAAGTAGATTGGTGGTTGTATGGAGCTGGGAGTGGGAATGGAGATTAAATGGACAGGAAGAATCTTATTGATTGATAAAAATGTTTTTAAAATTGGATTATGGTAATGGTCGCAAAACTAGGTACATTTGTGAAAAATCACTGAATAGTATGCTTATAATGGGTGAGTTTTATGTTATGTAAATTGTACCTCAATTAAGTTTAAAAAATAGGTCTTTGAGGCTTAGAAGAAACGACACCAAAATAACAAAAAAAGAAATACAAAATCAAACATGGATGAAACAGGAAAAAAACAAAAACAAAACAGTAGAGTGGATCAAAATATACAAAGCTGGTTCTTTGAAAAGACCAGGAGTATAGTTACTGTGAACCTAAATAAAAATAAGAGTGAACAGATACACAGAAGATAAAGATGCTTTAAAGCCTACCTCCCAGGTCATGGTTTTTAAATATCCTTTCCTACAAAAGGGACCCAGGGCTCCTTGGAGAAATGGCATCAGAATGGGACAAGGAAAGTACAAGGTGAGCCTTGGATATCTTATGTCAAAAAAGTGCCCCAAGACTAATGGGGGTCACATCAAAAGGACACCTAAGCCAACTTAAAGGATCCAAATGGCCAAATTTGGTAATCTTGTACTTAAAACAGATAATAACAATAGTAAATAATGAGTACATTGAATCAAAAAATGTTCATGGGTGCACAATAATGTTCAAAACACTAGGGAAAGGGGAGGCTCCTTTACAGAAGAATGCCAACTAATAATGTAGAAGAAATGGTACAGTTAAAATTTTCTAATTTTAATTCTACCATTTTGCAACTCCCAGTATAATTACTAATTTAGGCCAAGAATTATCAATTGATAGGAAAACAAAAACCATATGAGAAAAGGATTTTCACATATTCTTAACTTATGATCCTATAGATTACTTTCTAATTACAAAGGGATACATACATATCTACAAATGAAGGAAATTGATGGTCATGGTCTTAAGCAAATGATTTCGCAACACCAGAAGCAGGATAGCTGGTATTATGTGCCTCCTGATGTAATACATGGAACAGTGTTTGGCAAACTACTGCCTATTGGCCAAATCTAGTCCAACACTTTTGTACAGCCCTTAAGCTAAGACTGGTTTTACATTTTTAAATGGTTCGAAGGGGAAAAAAAAAAAAAAAGGAAGAATAATATTTCGTGTCACATAAAAATTAAATAAAATTCAAATTTCAGTGTCCATATAGTTTTATTGGAACATAGCCATATTCATTTATTTATGATTTGTCTGTGGCTGCCTTCTTGCTATAGTGTAGTTGAACAGTTATGATAAATCTTCATGGCCTGCAAAGCCTAAAATACTTAGTATCTGGCCCTTTACAGGAAGTTTGCTGACCTTCCAAGAGAAAGTATACAACATCACTTACAAAGTATTCTTGCCAAAAATGTTTTAACTTGGGCCAGGTGCGGTGGCTCACGCCTGTAATCCTGACACTCTGGGAGGCCGCAGAGGCAGGTGGATTGTTTGAGCTCAGGAGTGCGAGACCAGCCTGAACAAGGGCGAGACTTTCGTCTCTATTATAAATAGAAAGAAATTAGCTGAGCAACTAAAAATATATACAAAAAATTAGCTGGGCATGGTGGCACATGCCTGTAGTCCCAGATACTGGGGAGGCTGAGGCAGGAGGATTGCTTGAGCCCAGGAGTTTGAGGTTGCTGTGAGTTAGGCTGATGCCACGGCACTCTAGCTGGGGCAACAGAGTGAGACTCTTTCTCAAAAAAAAAAAAAAAAAAAAAAGTTTAACTTGAACCTAATCATGAGGAAACAATCAGATAAATCCAATAATGTGGGATATTACACAAGTGGGCTGACACTTCAAAATATTAATCAAAAGATACTAGAGAGACATAACCAAATGCAATGCAGGAAGCCTGATTAGATCCTGGAGCATGCGAGGGGTGGGGGGGAGGACTATAAAAGACATTTTGGAGACAAGTGGGAAAATTTGAATAGAGACTATAAATTAAACGATATTGTGAAATTACTGTTAATCTTCCTACATGTGATGATGATATTGTGGTAACACGTCTATATTCTCAGGAGATGGATGCTGAAATATTCAGGCATTGAAGTGCTATGGTTTCTACAACTTACTTTTAAATGGTTCAGGAAAAAATAGTGTACGTAAGAGAGAAAAAGCAAGAGAAGGCAAATGTAGCAAAGTGTTTAATAATTGGTGAATCTAGGTGAAGGGAATACAGGTGTTCATTGTGCTATACAGTGTTTTAACTTTTCTGTGGGTTAAAATTTCCAAGATTAAAAGTTGAAGGAAAAAATGTATCTGTATACTACTTTTCTTTAAAAGAGTTCAAAACACTTCTGATTTGGCCGGGCGCGGTGGCTCACGCCTGTAATCCTAGCTCTCTGGGAGGCCGAGGTGGGCGGATTGTTTGAGCTCAGGAGTTCGAAACCAGCCTGAGCAAGAGCGAGACCCCGTCTCTACTAAAATTAGAAAGAAATTAATTGGACAACTAAAAATATATAGAAAAAATTAGCCGGGCATGGTGGCGCATGCCTGTAGTCCCAGCTACTTGGGAGGCTGAGGCAGGAGGATCGCTTGAGCCCAGGAGTTTGAGGTTGCTGTGAGCTAGGATGACGCCACGGCACTCTAGCCCGGGCAACAGAGTGAGACTCGGTCTAAAAAAAAAAAAAAAAAAAAACACTTCTGATTTTTATTTTACTACTTTACAAATATTTAATGATGAATGACTTAGTGTCACAAAACTCTACAATATACCATTAGAAATAATACACTAATTCATAAATGGGGAAGTAGAGGCCAAGGCTGAAGGCCACATAAGAGAGAGTTAAAATTAGATTTTCAGTTTCCTGCCAAACAGTCCTCAGCTTTTATTTTTTCTTTCTTTTTGCACTAGAACATTTAAGGAGAGGCTTTAAAAATGGAACATCCTGAGACTGCCTGGCTATATGTGTAGTGACATCATATATTTTCCACTTTCAAAGCTAAAAAAGAGATCCTCTAGACACGAGGTCATTCTATAATATTTCTGATTCCTGTCATAACTGGCATAAAAGTTCAAACATTCCCATTTCATAAAGAGACCTAGGATCACCTTAAGAGTTTGGTATTACCTTTAAGTGTTTCAGGAGTTCTCTGCCTAGTTCATAGTCCAATTTGATGGCAAACACAAAGTGTAGAATGATGGTGCCTTCCACATGACGAAGTTCACCTGATGGCACAGTAACAAGATCCAACAGCCTAAAAGATCCAATAGAAAGGTAAGAGCTATCATTCGAGTGAGAGACAAGTGCAGGTGCTGTGATGAACAAGAAGACCGACTCAAACTGAATGCATATAATCACTGGAGGAGTGAAGTAGAAATTTTACTGCCCCATTCTCTGCTCCTTTTTATAACAAAATTTCATGAAAGAATTGTATACGATCAATTCCACTTCATTATCTCATAGTGTCTTCCCAGTCCAATCCAATTCAATCAGGCTTCTATCCTCTTCCTACCCTTCCCTCCATGGCATTTGACTATTCTTGCAAGGGTCACAAATGACCTCCACATTACCAAAAGCAATAAAGTTCCACCTTAATTAACATCTCAGCAGATGTGACACAATTAGCACTTCTTTCTTGAAATACTTTTTTCTCTTAGCTTCCAGGGCACTGTCACTGGCCTCTTCACAATTTTTTTTTTTTTTTGCTGGCTCATCTCCCCCTATTGCTTGACAGTAAAATGGTGGAATGCCTCTAAGCTCAGTCTTGGGTCTCTTTTTCTTCATGCTTTTCCTAGACAATCCCATCCAGTCCCATGGCATTAGTCCCTTCAAATCTATATCTCCAGGTCAGGCCTCTCCCTACGACTTCAGACTACCCGCTCAACACCTTCTTATGGGTTGCTAATATACATCTCGAACCTAATGTGGTCAAAACTGAACTCATTATTTTCTCCAAAACCTGCTTCTCTGTCAGCTTTTCCTAACTCAGTATCTAAGACCACCTTCTAATCAACTGTTTAAGCCAAATAACTAGGAGGTATTTAGATTCGAAGCAATAGGCTGCACAGGGGTTAACAGCATGAACTCTGCAGCCAAACTGCCTGCATTCAAATCTCAGCACCACCACTTTCTGGCTATATAATCTTGGGAAATTCCTTAATTTCTCTGTCGCTTGGTTTCCACATCCATAAAATACAGGCAAAATAGGGTTGTGAGGTTTAAAGTGCTTAGAACAGCACCTGGCACAGAATAAGCACTCTACAAATGTTTGCTTAAAAAAAAAAAATCCTCTCTCTCAAACATGCCACACTGTGCTCTGCCTTTGTACTATTTCCCTACCTGAAAATGTTCTTTTCTCTGATCTATATATTATGGCCCTTACCATTCAAGCTTCAGTTACAATAGCGCCTTCTCAAAGAGGTTTTCCCTGACCCCACCCATCTAATGTAGCTGTGGTGTCACTGTCACATCATCCATTTGAATCATCTGCATAGCGCTTTCTACTCTAACGTTTTTCTTGTGATTTTCTTTTCTTTTCTCATCAAAATAGAGCAGGGACATTGTGTGACTGGTTGTCACTATAACCCCAAGGCTAAATAGTTCCTAGCAGAGAGCTGACATTTAATAAATAGGTTTTGAATCTGTAACTTACAGGACAATTATCACTATTTCCCCAAAATGCAAACAGAAGAGCTGAAAAGGCTGCATTATTCTCTTAACTTTATTACTAGACAGCCAGGAGAAGATTAGGGAAGTTCTGTGCTGAGGTGAAGGTAGGGGGTGAAAGAGAAGATAAGGAAGTAGCTAAAATGCACAATGAGTAGATAAATTTGTAAAAATGATGTTTATTTCTACACTATATTACTCACTCATCACCACTCTGTTCCTCAGCATGTTGCTTATCTAGCTCATTGAAGAAGGCTATGATCCCTTCCAAAACACTCTTTCTGCTTCCCTGAAAGAAGACAAAATAGGTAAGGTCACCCAATTAAAAGGCAAATAACCAAATTGAATTTAATGTACTTTGTAACCTAAAGAATTCTCAAGTACAATTTTTTTAAGAAAGCTACAACCTAGAGTCAAACTGAGAATGTTTCAACTTTCATGTTGAAACAGGATTTGAAATACCTCTTTACTGTCAGACTTTAAGGGGTTTATAGTCTATCTTTCCTGAGATTTTTATCGCTTTTACTATCACAAAGAAAATGTAGTAATATGAGATAATGTATGTTTTCCTTAGCTGAGGAGCATGACCTTTTTACTAGCCCAAATCACTACACATGAAATGAAAGCATCCATGTCCTAATACATAAACCAAAAATATAAATATGCTGAATGTCTCTAACTCATCGTACCACCAAAAATCCAAGAGAAATACTTTTTTATTTATACCTTTGAAGAGAGAACCAGAAGCTGATAGACCAAAGGTGGTATTTCTTGAAGATTCATCTTGGAGAACATCCTCAACACCTTTTCCACCACCAATTCCGCCTCTTCTTCAGTCAGAGGAACATCCCTGTGGATCAAAGATTCTAAAGGCTGCAGCCACAGCCTAACTGTCTTACTTTTAGAAATTCAATTCAGAGCTTTATAATGGTTAAAATTCCATTAAACATATTTTAAGAAATAAAATTTGGGGGCGGGGAATTAAGGAGACAATAGAATATTGTAACTGCCTCTTTTGATTTTTCACTAATGAAGAACTTTTAACCGATAATGTTACCTAAGCAAAAGCATCTTGGAAAAAAATCATAAACTTGTATTTTAAATAAATAAATAAAGCCAAAAAGGAGATGGGGATGGGGAGGGAATTTGTAACAGAAAACAGATGTTCTAATACTCTTATTCAGGAGGAACTGGTGTTTGAGTTTGCTGTTTCAATTTCTAGTAGATAAGTTCACAAAACATGGTATAAAAACAAAAGGGAAAGATGATGCTTACTTGAACATGGAGGTGAGTTGGATTACATATTGCTGGTCCCATCTGTTTAAGGAAAATGACAAAGAACATAAAAGCTTATTTCATTTTAACTTATTTACATGTAACTATAAAATTAATAAGGAGGAAAAAAATAGTGCCATTTCAAGTCTGATTTTGCAATACTGGGAAACAAGATCAAAGAAATACAATTTAAAATAATGAAATAGCAGTTTTTAACCTATTGGGCAAAATCAAGAAGTCTGATGACACTCAGTGCTGGTGAGATTGTGAGAAACAAACATTCTTCAGATACTGTTTTAGAGAGTGCATGACAAGTTAGCAATACTTACCAACTTTAAAAATGCAAATAACCACATACCCACTCAATTTACTATTTGAAATATATTCTTGTAAATGCTTGTAAAAAGTAATCTAGATATATAAAGACATTCATTAAAACACTTTTTATAATAGCAAAAAACTGGAAACAATCAAATAATCCAATAAATGGAGACAGGCCAAATAATAGAACACTACAGAACTACTAAAAAGAATGACTTAGAATTGTATATGCTGACGTGAACAGATGTGTTAAATAAATAATGCAATATATATTACAACATAATTTGAATAAATTCTTACATAATTAAAAGCAAACAAACATACATGTTCTGGTACATGCTTAAAATTATTTATGTAAAGGATCTTACGTAAGGAAACATAAAAGCTATTATATCTGGCTTAAATAATCTTGGGTATTCCCTTGTTCTTTTTAACATACCCAAGTGTAATCATTAGTATTGTGTAAGTTAGCATTCTCTTTATATTGTTGACTATATATAGTAAGGATTTTTCATCTTTAATGTATATCTTAACGCATTTGATTTTTAATGGGTATAAATTTCATGGAGTGACTCTACCTTAATTTACATACCATAACTTACATGTTTCTATTACCATATGCTTACATTGGTCACAAATTTCTATGCTGAACATGTTCACAGATGAGGATTTTTTGTATGTTGGAGTCTTTCCTTAGGGTAGATTCCCAGAAATACAATAACTGGTTAAATGATAAAAATATGACTTGTATATTCCACTCCCTCAAAAAAATATAAAAGATATAGCAGCAGGGTGACTTCCCTAGCCTTAAGGACCTTGGGACTACAAACAATACTTAGAGGACTAAATTGCTGTGTTAACGATAGACAGTCAAGTAAACAGAAACTATACACATAGTTTTAGAGCACAGAATACAGTAAATCATCTTTCTCAAAAATTTATTGCAGACTAAATGGTTTTATAGTGGTATATTATAAACAAAGAAAAAATGGACTAAAAACTTTATAAATTCCCGGAATAAATGGTGTTCTTTCTCTGGCCACCTGTAGTCCTGAGAAAGTTCTACACATTAATAAGAAAGACTCACCTGCCAGAACAGAGGGTGTTAATCAATTGCTTCTTACATTCTTCCCCACTCAGTTCGCCTAGAAATGCAAAATACACTGAGAAATAATTTGACTTTGTGAATAGAGACAAAACCACTAAAATTGGGAGAAAATTACCTTTTCCATAAGCCATATTTCCCTTTTTGGTGGTCAAGGCAGTGAGAATAATAGGCAATAACTCCAGAGATTTTCCATTTACTAGATTGCCTTCTTTGATAGCACTAATAAACTCATTGGCTAATTCAACCAATAATGGTCCTGGAAAATGGTGAGCCTAAAAGTTCATGGGATAAAGAAAATCTTAAGCAGAAATCCAACGTTTGATATTTCCTTCCAAGAAATAAAGTCTTTAGCTACAATAACTGAATTGATATCGAGACCCAGAAATGGTCCTATAAAGGATTCATAGAATTATTTTGTTCTGACACTTATAACTGTAAAGCATTTCAAAGGTCAGAATCTTCCATCAACTCCCTAACATTTTCAAATATGCCAACTCTTCAAAGAGATATGTCAATGGTACCAGAAATATAATGTATACATCGAGGTGGTTTATTGCCCTTTCATCCACTTTTTTGTTTTTTAATAACAGCTCTTATTCATAAACAGGAACTACGCTAGGGTTGGCACTTAAGTTTTCCTTCCCTCAATAAATTACAAACCAAAAAAAAAAACCTACCCCAAAACAAAAAAGATTTTGTCTTCCATCTTACCTCCAGCATTAGTAATCCTATGATCTCAGATGCTACTTCTTTCTGCAAATCCCCTGATTCCACCAACTGGATACAATAAGTGTATATCTTACGTCTCCTAAGAGTTCCAGCTTTCTCAGAGCAGGGGGAACCTTATTGTTTTAAACAGGTGGTACAGAAACAAAGAAATCTTACAATGTTGATGTGTAAATAGGAAAGACAAACAGGTTTGTAGTTTAATAAAAAAATAGAATTACTGCTATATCAAAGGCAAGGAAAAAAAGAAAGAATTATCAAACTTCTGGTTACTACAGTGTTTAGAATAGCAACATTTAGGAGCTTTGACAAAGCGCTAGATTTAGCTAAAGTAAAGGGATTGAAATGTCATCTTTTCTTCATTTGCCTATTTCATTAATTTAACTTAATTATTACATAGTACAGGAGAAAGAAACCTTCTAATATATCTTACAGCTTTTGGGGAATCCAGTAACCTAAATTTAATGCCTTTGACATAATTCATTTCAAAATGTCATCACTAAGTGATGTCAACAGGAACAGAGTAATAAGGATGCTGGCAAATCCTCTCCTCCATAAAAGATACGAGAACACTGAAAAAATAGTCAAAATCAACTTGTTCAGAACTCTAGAAGTTAACCAAAGGCTTAAAACAATCCAGGGAGCAAGAAAAAAAGCTGAGTCTCAGTAAGAACAGTAACTTTTGTGGCATTTTAACATGCCTTCATCATATTCCTTGCCCCTAACCCAGCAGTATGGAAAAAATACCCCTATAGCATGGTGAAAGCCAGTAGCTTGGCATCCTCTGGAGGAGACAGAATGCGGCTGGAGCTCCTCCAAAGCCCAATTCCCAGAGATAATTGTCATTATTTGACCTGATTGTTTGCTAGAAATTTTTATTAGCAAGCTTGTCTTTATTTGACCTTAGAGCTTAACCAGTACAAACACGATTTTACCCAGGGGCATTTGCTAAATCAGTTGCAAAGTGATTAATACTGTTGCTGCCAGAGGCAGCAATAAGAGTTGGGCAAATAAGCTGACCAAAAAAATGTAAAGGATATCCTTTACATTTTTTGTAAATGTAAAGAAGGGAGAAGATCCAAATTACTAAAATCAAGAATGAGAGGGAGATTACTACCAAGCTTAGAGAAATAAAAAGGATTATAAAGGAATATGATGAACAATTGTATACTAATAAATTAGATAACATATGAAATAGACCAACTGCTAGAAAGACACAAACTATCAAAATCGACTCAAGAATAAACAGAGGCTGGACACAGTGGCTCACACCTGTAATCCTAGCACCCTGGGAGGTTGAAGTGGGCAGGATCGTTTGAGGTCAGGAGTTTGAGACCAGCCTGAGCAAGAGACCCTGTCTCCACTAAAAATAGAAAAATTTGCCAGACAACTAAAAATAGAAAAAATTAGCCAGGCTTGGTGGCACATGCCTGTAGTCCCAGCTACTCAGGAGGCTGAGGCAGGAGGATCACTTGAGCCCAGGAGTTTAAGGTTGTTGCTGTGAGCTAGGCTAATGCCATGGCACTCCAGCCTGAGCAACAGAGTGAGACTCCGTCTCAAAAAAAGAAAAAAAAGAATAGAAAATCTCAACAGACCAAGACATGGAATTAGTAATCAAAACCACTTACTAAGCTACAAAGAAAAGCCTAGAACCAGGTGGCTTCACTTGTGAACTCACCAATGTTTAATGAAGAATTCACATCAATCCTTCACAAACTCTTCTAAAAAACAGAAGGGAATACTTTCCTAACTTATCCTATGAGGCCAGTATTATCCTCATACCAAAACCAAAGACATAAGAAAACTACAGTTCACCATCTCTTGTGAATATAGATGGAAAAATCCTCAACAAAATATTAGAATTGGCCGGACGCAGTAGCTCACGCCTGTAATCCTAGCACTCTGGGAGGCCGAGGCGGGTGGATCGCTCAAGGTCAGGAGTTTGAGACCAGCCTGAGCAAGAGCGAGATCCCGTCTCTACTAAAAAATAGAAAGAAATGATTTGGACAACTAAAAATATATATATAAAAATTAGCCGGGCATGGTGGCACATGCCTGTAGTCCTAGATACTCGGGAGTCTGAGGCAGAAGGATTGCTTGAGCCCAGGAGTTTGAGGTTGCTATGAGCGAGGCTGATGCCACGGCACTCTAGCCCGGGGAACAGAGCAAGACTCTGTCTCAAAAAAAAAAAAAAAAAAAAAAAATATTAGAATCTACCAATATTTAAAAAGAATTATACACCATAACTAAGCAGGATTGGTTCAATGTACAAAAATCAATGTAATACACAATATAAATACAACAAACAAAGGATAAATAATAAAGAATAGAAACCACATGATCATATCAATAGATGCAGAAAAAGCATTTGAAAAATCCAATACCCTTTCATGATAAATACATTCGACAAACTAGGTATAGAATGGAAATCCCTGAATCTGATAAAAGGATGCCTATGAAAAACCCACAGCTTGGCGAGTGTGGTGGCTCAAGCCTGTAATCCCAGCACCCTGGGAGGCTCAGGCAGGAGGATCGCTTGAGGTCAGGAGTTCAAGACCAGCCTAAGCAACAGCAAGACCCATCTCTATTAAAAATAGAAAAAATTAATTGGGCAACTAAAAATAGAAACAAAAAATTAGCCAGGTGTGGTGGCGAGCTCCTGTAGTCCTAGCTACTTGGGAGGCTGAGGCAGGAGGCTCACTTGAGCCCCGAAGTTTGAGGTTGCTGTGAGCTATGCTGACACCACAGTACTCTAACCTGGGCAACAAAGCAAGACTCTGTCTCAAAAAAAACCCCCCCAAAACCCACAGCTAATATCAAACTCAATGGTGAAAGACTAAAAAAGCTCTCCTAAGATCAAGAACAAGAAAAGGATGTCCATTCTCACCACCTTCTATTCAACATTGTACTGGAAGTTCCAATCAAAGCAATTATGTAAAATAAATATATAAAAGGCATCCAGACTGAAAAAGAAGTAAAACTATCTCTATTCACAGATGACATCATCTTCTAAACAGATAACCTTAATCCACAAAAAATAAATAATTAGAGGTAACAAGTACAGGAAGGTTGCAAGATGAGTTCAACATGCAAAAACCTACTGCATTTCTATATACTATTAGACTGCATTAAGATAACAATTCCATTTAAAATAGCATCAAAAAGAATACTAAGGAATAAATTTAACAAAAAAGTACAAGTACCCATGATATCCAAAACAATCCTGAAAAAGAAAAACCAATTTGAAGGATTTATACTTCTGGATTGTAAATCTTACTGTTATACAAAGCTACAGTAATCATGGCCATGTGGTACTGACAAAAGATAAGACATATAGATCAAGGCAATAGAACTGAGAACCCAGATATAAATACTCACATTTACAGGCAATTGAGTTTTGATAAGGGTGCCAAATGGGGAAAAGAATGAAGATGGACCCCTACCTCACACCACACACAAAAATTAACTCAAAATGGATCAAATACCTAAATGCACAAGCTAACGCTATAAAATCTTTTAGAAGAAAACATAGGTATAAATCTTTGTGACCTTGGATTAGGCAGTATTTTCTGAGATATGACACCAAAAGTACAAGCAACAACAATAACAAAATAGATAAACAGGACATCATCAAAATTAAAAACTTTATCTTCAAAGGACACCAACAAAAAAGAAAAACTCACAGAATGGGAGAACATTTTTGCAAATTATATACCCAATAAGGGACTTGTATCTAGAATACAATAACAAAAAGCTAGTACAAGTCAATATTAAAAGATAAATAATGTGATTTTTAAAAGGGCAAAGAATATTAATAGACATTTCTTCAACGAAGATATCCAAATGAACAGTAAGCACGTGAAAAGATGTTTGACATCATTATCCATCAGAAAAATGCAAATCAAAACCATGAGATACCACTTCACACTCAGTAGGATGGCTAGAATGAAAAAGACACATAATAACAAGTTTTGTTGAGTATGTGGAAAAATCGACGTCCATAGTCACTCTGGAAAATAGCTCGGCAGTTTCTCAAGCAGTTATACTTAAGAGTAACCATATGATCCAGCAATTCCATTCCTAGATATATACCCAAGAGAAATGAAAACATATGTTCCCACAAAACTTGTACACAAATGTTCACAGCAGCATGATTCATTGTGGCTAGAAAGCAGATACAACCTAAATGTTCATCAACTCATGAACAGAAAAATGTGGTAGGTACGGCCATACAATGGAATATTATTTGGCAGTAAAAAGAAATGAAGTACTGATACATGCTACAACATACCTTTATAATATATTAAGTGAAAAAAGTCAGTCAAAAAAGACCATATATAGAATGATCCCATTTTTATGAAATGTCCAGAATAGGCAAATCTATAGAGACAGAAAGTGGATTAGTGGTTTCTTAGAGTTGGAACGGATTGGGGATTTGATGAGATGACAGCTAACGGGTACAACTTCTTTTAGGGGTAATGAAATGGTTTTCAAATTGATTGTGGTAATGGATGCACAACTCTGTGAATATACTAAAAGCCATAGAATTGCATATTTTTCTTTTTTTTTTTTTTGAGACAGAGTCTCGCTTTGTTGCCCGGGCTAGAATGAGTGCCGTGGCATCAGCCTAGCTCACAGCAACCTCAAAGTCCTGGGCTCAAGCAATACTTCTGCCTCAGCCTCCCGAGTAGCTGGGACTACAGGCATGCGGCACCATGCCCGGCTAATTTTTTCTATATATTTTTAGTTGTCCAGATCATTTCTTTCTATTTTTTTTGGTAGAGACAGGGTCTCGCTCAGGCTGGTCTCGAACTCCTGACCTTGAGCAATCCACCCGCCTCGCCTCCCAGAGTGCTAGGATTACAGGCGTGAGCCACCTGTGCCCGGCCTTAGAATTGCATATTTTAAGTGTGAACTGTATAGTATGTTAATTATCTCAATTTAAAAACATTTACACTTTTAAAGGGTGAATTTTTTTTTTTTTTTTTTTTTCAGACAGAGTCTTACTGTGTTGCCCGGGCTAGAGTGCTGTGGCGTCAGCCTAGCTCACAGCAACCTCTCACTCCTGAGCTCAAGTGATCCTCCTGCCTCAGCCTCCCGAGTAGCTGGGACTACAGGTACGCGCCACCATGCCTGGCTAATTTTTTCTATTTTTAGTTGTTTGGCTAATTTCTTTCTATTTCTAGTAGAGACGGGGTCTCGGTCTTGCTCAGGCTGGTCTCAAACTCCTGAGCTCAAGCAATCCTCCCGCCTCGGCCTCCCAGAGTGCTAGGATTACAGGCGTGAGCCACCACGCCCGGCCTAAAGGGTGAATTTTTTAGTATATGGTTTATATCTCAATTTTTAAAATGTCATCAGCAGTTAACTATTGGTCATATACATGATTGATTAAATAAGATTAAAATGATTAGGAGGTTGTTTCCATAAGTACTTGATAATCCATGCTACTTTTAAACCAGGCTTTCTAAATCTTAAATCTTACCTTAAATAAGGTAAAAATAAGGTTAGTCACAAAAGTAGGAGCCATGATAATTTGTCCCAGGTTTATCCGTTCAAGAAACAAACTACCCGGGCTAGGTGAGGTGGCTTATGCCTACAATCCTAGCACTCTGGGAGGATGAAGCGGGAGGACGGCTTGAGGTCAGGAGTTGAAGAATAGCCTGAGCGAGAGTGAGACCCCATCTCTACTAAAAATAGAAAAAATCAGCCAGGCGTGGTGGCATGTGCCTATAGTCCAGCTCCTCAGGAGGCTGAGGCAGGAGGATCACTTGAGCCCAGAAGTTTGAGGTTGCTATGCTATGAGCGAGGCTGACGCAATGGCACTCTAGCCGGGACAAGAGAGCGAGACTCTGTCTCAAAAAAGAAAAGAAAAAAACTACCCTTATTTCTTCCACTTGGGACCGTATCTGAGCAGCTGCTGCTCATCTTTCATTATTTCCTTTTCTCTGATATTTCTACAAAATATTTAGCAAGTTTTCATAAACGTTGACTCAACCAACTTTGAAAGTTCTTTCATGAACAAGAAGATATGTTTTCGTACCCTCGCAGCGAAGACTCAATTTACTTGGGAGGAGAAAAATAAATTGAGTTAACACACCTTGTAAGAATCCAAAGCCACTTTTAATTTTTGCCTTGTACAATTTTATCCTACAAGAATTTGTGAAACCACTGGGAGTCACAATCTGAAACAACATAGACTGGTCCTTGTTTAAGATAGGAAAACAAGTATCCCTCACAAAGAATTAAGAATCTCTATATAAGGCACCCAAGATATTCCATTTCATTAAAGCCCAGAGCTCCCTAGCCCCTGGTTAAGCACAGATTAAGTACTAAACATTGCTGTTCTCTTCTCTACAATTTTAAAAGCACAAGTAAACCAAAGCAGATTTTATGGAAAGTACATTCTTTACAGGCCCCCAAATCAGCAATACAATCTCAGGTAACACTTCAACTCCCTTCAGTAAAATTACTTAAGTCCACTAGATAGCAGAGTGATGATTTAGTTAATTCTGTAGAATCCTCAAAACACAGAATATGTTCCACTGGGGCTTCAAACAGTAAGAAAAGTAGCAATATAGGCCCAAAGTAAACAAATCTACCAATGAACTCAGGGAGATAGAAGTTACATTAATTATTACCTTTGAAGATGGCTCTCAGGAGTGCACCAGCAGCTTTTCCTTTCACTGCTTGATTCTGAAGGAGATCAGTCAACTGCAATCAAAGAAAGAAAAAGTTTCAAATCTCTGGTAACACTCCTCTACCCCAATGACCTAAACACTCAACATGAAAAGGCATTCCTTTTTTAGGTTCAGATCATTCAGAGACATAATCTTTATTTAGATGGAGCAGGGTAGATTTTAATAGGATGCTGGACTGTCAAGACTAAAATCTACTCATACATTCATTCTATAAACATTGAGTACTTAATCAGCATTGGCTATGTGCTATATTTTTGGGATACACATTCATTCAACAAATACTTTTTGAGCACGTTTTTTCCCTGAGGCTCAACATAAGCATAAAAAAGACAAACATGGAAAGGGTAGGAGGGGAACAGGTGACAGAAAAAGAATCAGAAAAAAAATTGTAAAGGAAACAAATAAGAGGCTGAGATAGACAATAATTGAGAAAAGAAAGGCAACTTCAGCTAGGGTAATAAGGGAAGGCTTCTCTGAGGTAGGTGATATTTAAGCAGAAACCTGGAGGATGAGAAAGAGCTAGTTATGCAAACGGAGGAAAGGATATTCCAGATAGAGAAATCATCATGTACCGGGGCCCTGAAGAAGCATATTTGAGGCCAAGGACTCGGAAAGGAAAAAGACCAATAGACTAATATGGCTGGAGAGTAGTAAGGAAAAGAGTAGCAGAACATGAGTTTGGAGACATGGGCAAGGCCCAGACTATGAAGAATCGTAGAAAGCTTAGCTTTTGTCTAAGTGCAACAGAAGCTTCTACAGATAAAAAAAAAAGAGTGATATAATAGGTTTTTTTTAAAAAAAATCATTCTCCAAAAAAAAAAAAAATCATTCTTGCTCTTTGTGTACAGAATGGGTTGTGGGAGGTTTAAAACTGAAACAGGGATAACTGTGTTCAAGTTAGAGATGATAGCGGCCTAGACCAAAGAGATAGCAGGGGAGATGTTATGGGCCAAATTATGCATATTAAACTGCTAACACCTATTACCTACAGATGTGACCTTATCTGGAAATTGCGTTGTTGCAGATGTAATTAGGTGAGGTCATTAGGGTGGGCCTAATCCAATATGACTGATGCCGTTATAAAAGGGGGAAATCTGGACATAGATACCCACACAAAAAGAATGCCATATGAAGATGAAAGCAGAGAGCAAGTGATACAAGCCAAGGAACACCAAAGATTGCAGCAAACCACCTAAAGATAGGTGAGGGGCACAGAGCAGATTCTCACAGCCCTCAGAAGGAACCAACCCTGCTAACACCTTGATCTTCAACTTCTAATCTCCTGAACTGTGAAACAATAAATTGCTCTTATTTAAGGTATTCAGTCTGTGGTACCTTTGTAACAGCAGCTTAGCACACTAATACAGAAGATGAAGAAAAGTAGATAGATTCAAAATATATTTGAGAGCTAGAAATAGTAGATAGTTTCCACTGGAAGAAAAGCTAGAAAAGTAGATTCTGGCCGCATGCAGTGACTCATGCCTGTAATCCCAACACCTTGGGAGGCTGTGGCAGGAGGATTGCTTGAGGCCAGGAGTTCGAAACCAACCAACCTAAGCAACATAGCAAGACTTCATCTCTACAAAAAATTTAAAAATTAGCTGGGTGTGGTGATGCACGTCCCAGCTACTCAGGAGGCTGAGGCAGGAGGATCGCTTGAGCCCTTGGGGTTGCAGTGAGCTATGACTGTATTCTGCACTCCAGCTTGGGCAACAAAATAAGACCCTGTTCCCCCCACACATCCCCACAAGTTGATTCAAGATATATTTGAGAGCTAGGAATAGAAATTCCTCATAGTTTGGAAAGTGAAAGGGGTATAATGATGAAGAAAAAGAAGAAATTAAGAAGTACTCCTAAATTTCTGGCTTAAGCAACTAACTGGGTGGACGGTGGCATCATCCATTGACATGGTAAAAATGTGGGATTAAGCAAGCATCTAAATCATTCACCTTGAGGGCTTTCTAAAACAGATTGCTGGATTCTACTCATAGTTTCTGATTCAGCAGGTGTGCTACGGGGCTCAGAATGCTGAGATATCCAAGTGGACGTGCCAAGCAGACAACGAGATATGCCAAAGTAGAGCATCAATCGAAATAGATGAGACCATCCAGGAAGAGAAAGAAAAGCAAAGAGAAACACCAACAATCAGTCATTAAAAAGAGAAGCAGCCACCAGTAAAGATGACTGAGCAGGTACAGTCAATAATATGGGAAGATAATCCAGAGAGAGGAGCGTCACAAAAGCCAACACAAATAAAACAATAATTTGATCTTATCCACAACTACATGAGCTTGTTCTTTCTAACTGAAGTCCATCTCTCCCTTCTTAAATATATAATAAGGAAGTATCTGAGTGCTCTTAACTACACCCTCTAACTTGATATAATTCTTAGAGCAGTGGTTCTCAACCAGGGGTGATTTCTGTCTCCAAGGGGACACTGGACAATGTCTAGAGACAAATCTGGCTGTCATGACTGAAAGGGTGCTACTAGAATCTAGTGGGTAGAGGTCAGGGATGCTACTATAAATATTCTGCAGTACGCAGGAGAATCCACTACAACAAAGAATTATCCAGTACAAAATATAAGCAGTGCCAAGGTTGAGAAACTGATTCTTTTTTGAAAATGTTAAGTTTCTACAATGGCATAGGAGGGGGAAAAAAAGCTGGACCCAGAATCAGAAGACCTGGATGTGAATCCTGGCTGTGCCATTTACTAGCTATATAATCTCAGGTAAGTTATTTAGTCTATTATGTGTGTCCACTTCCCCACCTCAAAGGACTGAGATGATGGGTATAGGACCCTGTACAGGGCCTAACACTCAACAGGTGCTCAACGAATGTTAATTTTCTTCTATTTCCTCTGTCCTCTACTCCCCTTCCTCCTCCCCTACTTATGTGATCTTTAGTTTTCCTCTCTGACCTTACTCAGTTATGCTTTCTACTGCATTTTAAAACTTAGAAATAGGCCAGGTGTGGTTTCTCAGTGAGCTATAATGACACCACTGCACACAACGCAGGGAGAGACTTTTTTTTTTTTTTTGAGACTGAGTTTCATTCTGTCACCCTGGCTAGAGTGCGGTGGTGTCATCACAGCTCACCACAACTTCAAACTCCTCGGCTCAAGCAATCCTCCTGCCTCGGCCTCCTGAGGAGCTGGGACTACAGGTGCACACCACCACACCCAGCTAATTTTTTCTATTTTTGGTAGAGAAGGTGTGTAGCTTTTGCTCAGGCTGGTCTCAAACTCCTGACCTCAAGTAATCCTCCCACCCTGACCTCCCAGAGCATTAGGATTACAGGTGTGAGCCACCACGCCTGGCTGAGACTGTCTCAAAAACAACAAAAAACCTAAGAAATAGACCAATTAAAATTAAGTATCCTTATTTTAGAAGCCTTTAAAATTTTTCTATTAGTTGTTAGACTGGAAATATCAAATTAATAGAACAATCCAAATATAGATTTTTTTTTTTTTTTTAAATAGAACATTCCTCATTTTGTGTTGTCTGATGTTTCCGTGTGGTTAAACTGAATTTATGCAGTCTTAGATAGACACAGGTGATACTGTTTCCTTCTCTGAGTATCACATCTGGAGGCACATGATATCCACCCGTCCCTCATTGTTGATATTAATTCTAATCACCCAGTCAAGTGTGTTGCCTGATTTTCCCATGTTATAATTACTTTTCCCCCTCCCTTTGCAACCAGTAAGCAATTTGTAGGGAGACATTTAAGACTATGCAAATATCTTGCTTGTCATCCAATTTTCTCCCTGTATAATGGAAAAGCCGAGCAGAAATCACTGTTACTAGTATCAAAGTCAGTATCACCAGGAATGACAATGACATCATGAGTCCAGTGGTGTGATAGACTGAGAAGGGCATGGTACCACTTTTGTGGTCTTTTTTGCTAGGGATATGTGACCTCGGCTCAAGCATGACACCATCAAACAGGCCCCAACTGAGACATGTTCAGCAAAACAACTGATCAATACTCTTCAGGGCTAACGAGATCAAGCAGGACAAGGAAAGAAAATTGTTGCAGATTGCAGGAAATCAGCGGAAAATGACAACTAAGAGCAATGTAGGAGGATGCTGAGTGGGATCCTGAAACATAAAAAAGGGACATTAGTGGAAAAACTACTGGGAATAGTTAGAATAGGGTCTTTAGTTTCATTGACAGTTTTGTACCAATGTTCTTAAAATTCCCCTGGATTTAGCATCCATTGATAAAGTAAGATATTGCTGCTAAAGTTAATTCTTCATTCACGAAAGAATGAGGGAAATATTAGTATCATTCTACCCTAGTGACAGAACATATCTGGAGCCCCATGTTCAATTTGAGGTGTGTAACTTTTAAGGGAAATGGTGACAAAAAAGAAGTATTCAGAGGAAGGTGACCATGTTAGTGAAGGGACTTAAAACCAGGAAGAGCTGGAAGAACTTTTCTAACATTTACTCAGTGTCTACTGGATGTTTATTGAGTGCCTATCAGATGTTAGATCCTTTACATACATTATCTCATTTCATCCTCAAAAAAACCAGGACGAGGATTCTCTTTGTGATGAGCAAGGATCAGAGAAGTAATTCGTAGTATCCATACACATCATGGATTTTGTTCTAGTTCTTATTTTTGCTTATCTTATTTTATAGTATATATAATGTTAAAGCTTCCTCAAATTCCTTTTTGAAGTAGGTAAAATATAATTTCTAAATAAATAATTTAAATGCTGGTTTTAATCAAATCTTATCTATAGAATGATTCAAGTTGCACCTCATATGATATACTGTCCCAAAAAAACTACTACAAAAGCAGTCCTGGATAATTTCAAAGCAAAAAAATAAATCAAAGAGCATCCATACATCAATTCCCAGTTAGTATGTCAGATAACAGAGACTAAGATGCACCTTGCTTCAATGACTAAATGACTAGCCATAAAAATTCTCTTCAAAACATAATGCTCGGCCGGGTGTGGTGGCTCACGCCTGTAATCCTAGGTCTCTGGGAGGCCGAGGCGGGCGGATTGTTTGAGCTCAGGAGTTCGAAACCAGCCTGAGCAAGAGCGAGACCCCGTCTCTACTAAAAATAGAAAGAAATGATCTGGACAACTAAAAATATATAGAAAAATTAGCCGGGCATGGTGGTGCATGCTTGTAGTCCCAGCTACTCGGGAGGCTGAGGCAGGAGGATCG